CAGACAGACAGACAGACAGACAGACAGACAGACAGACAGACATGAATTTGACACTTTCTTAAATTGTGCTCTGCTTGAAAACAGGGTAATGTTATAATACTTTTTCTTATTTAGGTCTATATGTTAGGGGGCGGGGGGGAAGCAAGATTTTAATTGAATAATCTGGAAACATTTAAAAGTCCGGTATACCCACTGTATTAACTATACAGTAATTTTATTTTTCTGTAAGGCACAACTGAAACTGCTATGGACCAGACCAATTCCAGCATGATTTTTTCCTAAACTGGAGGAATAACATGAGAAGATAAGAAACTTCTTGGCTGCCTGAATTCAAATGTTTTTTTGCTGCAAAATTACTATCAATTGAAGACTGTAATATAATTAGTCTTCATACTGTATTTAAGTCCCCTGGAATTTCTTCCAAGGAAGAAAAGTAATTTATCTACTCTGGATCATGCTTGGTTTGTATCAGTCCCAACAGTTTTAGTAAAATTTGAATCAAGGCTGAAAACCAATTCCTATTAATACCTGCATTGGAGAAAAGGAGCAGGAAACAGACCACCACAAGCAATACTAATGCAAAGCATGGGCTGCATTTAAATGAAGACATACAACCCAATTATCTCAAGTCACACAATGTCCCTTCACAATATTATCTTATAGACTACCAAAATGAAATAAAACATTCTGTTATATCAGAAATGGCTAATCTTTCGCTACCCATTTTACTTTTCAGGTTCTGCATTTTTAAAGGCATAAACAGTAACTGAACACAGTGATGATCCTTAGTATTACAGGCTATTCAGTAAAAGCTGTACCATGCAGCACAGTATTTCACCTCTCTCATCTGTGTTCATGAACAAAAGACAAGCAGCTGCAAGAAAGACACTACAGTTTGTCACTCAGTGACGCCGCTCATACGGGACTGCATTAATGCAAGCGTCACCTTGAATCTTACAATTTCATTATGAAGGTGTCAATTTCCAAAATTTATGTCCTAAATCACATTCTCCCTTTTGGCATCTTTCCAAGACATGATAACAAAACCCTTGAGTGGCAGGCAGTTTTTCAATCTCCACATCTTGGGAGAAGGATATTTATGGGCAATTTCCTCACTTGAATTTCTATCGTATCCCTAGCGTAAACTTCAAAGTGAGCTCACAATTAATAAAAGTGAATGGATATCTTAAAAAGAAAAAGAATCCCCAGCTGCCAGAGCTCCACAGAGAAAACCTAACACTTTCATAGAAGCCTAAACAAACAGTTGCAAGAACAAAAAATGGGAGAAAAATACAGAGCCTCTAAATAATTGGAAAAATACCTATCTGACAATCACCATTTTCCCTTCATTCTAATAAACAACATTCTGATGCACAAACCAAACCCATATTTATTTTGCCCATGAGAGGCATAGCCAGCAATTTGGTTTTTGACTGTACTATGATACTCTCCTTTTACTGGAAAAACAGGAGAAGCAGGACAATGATTAGGAGGAACTTTAGGAAACACTTGCCAAAATATGCAATACTTCATAATCTCGTTGCGTGCGTACATGCATGTACGTGGAATGAGACATAACTACTGGGACAAGAAAAAGGGAGCATTACCTCTACCCTGGAAAAGATAATTCTCCCACATCAGAATTCTGAGTCTGCACTTCACCTAAAGTTTCTCTTTTTAAGCCACAAACTACTCGCCTCTTGCCACCATCTACAGAATTTTGTAGAGTGTCTCAATTCTATTGAGGGTCCATTACACTGAAGATTTAAGTTAATACACATAACAAAAGCTGTTACTTTTTCTCCCCATGTTCCAGTTTCCTAACAAGTCACTGATATGTCACAGAATACAGAGTATCTTGATGACAAAGATGCTTATGGAACTATTCTGACAGCATAAGGCATTACAAAAGAGCTATTCACTATTGGTGTAGTGAACAAATTATGATACAGAAATATCTTGAGCTGGTAACACAGCAACTGTGGGTATCACTGAACCTCTGAAATTTTCTTTTATCATTGAACAAGAGTATTCCATCTTGCAGTCACTCCAGTTTCTATTTTTTCTCCCTTGTCTAGAATATCACATGCCCACATGGCACAGAGAAACCTTCAGAAATGAAGTGGGCAAGGTGGCTGCAGTCTGGAGCTCTGCTACTTGCCAGCCAACTGATAATGAAAGGAAAAAGGAAAAGGAGAAAGGGTGCAGGAATGGGGAAGCCAATAATGTGGGCGGCAATATGGAGGAAAAATAGACAGGATGAGACAGGGTGGGAGGACAGGGAGAAAGAAGGGAAAGCAGCCCGGCATACACCTAAACACAAAGAAAAAGAGAGGCATTACCAACATCTTGTGATTAGCCACATTTCCTACCATAGTTTATTTCTGATGGACACTTTTTTCAAAATTCCTGATCTTGTAGTGCATTTTCATTATAAATTAATTCAGACATTGTCATATTTCTAGAATTGTGTGTAGTTCCTCTCTGAATGAATTTCCACTTATGGCCATCACTCTTTTTTTGTGTATGCAGCAAACTTCACTACAGAGAAGAATCCATTAAAATCTGTTTTGTACCAAAACACAATGAGACCCATACCTAACAATTTTTATGTGGTATATGCTTTGTGAACTACATTTTTTTTTAGCTGCATGAACTTCCTTTAAGCACTACTGTTTTCAAACATGCTAAATATTCCACTGATTGATTTTCCTTAGTTTTAGCTTCATGTTAAAGGAGAAATAAAACTCATAATTACTTTAAAAAGATTTCATAAAATGTATTTGGTTCATTAATTTCATCAGCTAGCATTTATCTGAAATACATTACCTGAAGCTTCTATTGATGGTGATGTATACCTCCTCTACAGAACAGGGAGAAAGTGTGTTTTTAACCATTCAGATTTTTCCCCCCATGGGGGAAAAAACAATATGAAGAAGTCAGTTTGGTTCTTATAATTCATGTTATTTGCCCCAGATGTTATCCTATCAAAACAATTTCTCCAAACTAATGTCCACAGCTGTTGTGCCATTTTAATGACAGTACAAATATTGCTCTGTCAATAAATTAGGATGTAACATGTCACATAAGCAAATAAAACTCATTTTCATGGCTTGAAGTTTCACTTCCTTTCAAATGAATGTTCTCTTCTGCCATAAGGCACTTTGATTCTTTTGTGTGTAAACCACAACCAACGAGACCTATTTCCTCCATTCTTATTCCTCTCCCATTAAAATCAGTTAAAGGATACATGAGCACTAAAGAAATGGAAGAAAGGATTCAATTTTTCTCTGGGCATAAAGGAAAAACTAAGCGGCTAAAAAATGCTCATATAATTTGTATCCAGTTAGAACCTTCCATTAGATTATTCTTATCCCATCCCTCCTTAAAGTGACTTCAGGGGAACATCAACAAGACTTAATAAATTCTTACAACATACTAATTGATTCAAACTGCAGAGCTCAATAAGAATTGGTAAGCAGGTTTCTCAACCACAGAGAACCACAAGTTCAACCACAAAGCCAGCCACCATAAGACAAGTGTTACAGAACAGCTCAAATATTTTTACTACCTAACTTCTCCATGCATCTCACTTGTCCATGCTAAATTAACAATATGGTAGAATCCAGATTTGAAAATAGCAAGACAGAACATAGAGTGTCTAGTTCATGCAGGTTAATAGGACCAGATGACAAGCTTTTGCCATTTGAACACCATCACATTAATATCATTTGCCAGAAAGTGC